GACAAGGCCAGTTCCGGCAAGGGCTTCTCTCCTGCCGAAGGACAGTCCCCGATCCCCTGCTACACACTCAGGTTGGCAAAAGCCCACCACAGACCTGGAGCCGCTGCTGTCCGCTCATGACGAGGAGGCGGGAGGGGCCCGGCCAGGCCCTGCAGCGCTGGCTGGGAGCAGTCTCCTCGGCCACTCTGGGGTACTGGCCCACGGGTGGTCCCAGTGTCCCCAGGGGACAGCACCAAGCAGGCCTGCAGAGCCTGGGGGACCGGCCTTCGGTCCCCACTCTTGGCCGATGCGCAACGAGCGCCTGGCCTCCGTGTCTCTCGGCCGTGATGTCGGTGCGGCCATCACCTGCCTGGACGCCGGCTGCCCGATCGCATCCCTGGCGCTCCAATCAGAACAGAGGACGGGCTCGCGACACTGTGCCACGACCTGGCGTGCGGCTCTGAGCCACGTGCGTGCGCGTGAGTGTGGGGAGGCGCGGCTTTCCCCGGCGTCCGTCCGCCTGTTACATACACCGGCCTCGACGTGGAGCAGACGCTTGTAGGACAGCGCCCAAGTGTCTACAGCGGTGACATGGACGGCGTGGTCCTTCCTACCCGCCCCACAGGGCGACCACTGGTCCTTCTCCCACCGCCCGCGTACTGCCTGGTGACCCTTTGCTAAACGGGGGACTTGCCGACCGCATTGGCGAGCCGGCGCCCCTCCCACTGGGGCTGGCCCGCAGCCGGCTCCAAGGGGAGCCACGCTGGGCGCTGTGTGTCAGGCATTTGTCCGGCTCTGCTGACAGCCTGGGCTGGGGCGCGGCTGCTCCCTTCTCGGCTCCCACCACAGCCCGCCCGCCCGCCCAGGCGCCTTGGTGCTTGTCACATGGAGCTGGGAATTGTTACAGACTCCAGCTCTGGGCTCCATGTGCTGATGGGGCCACATTTCATTTCAGAAGGAAAAACCGCTTCGTCAGCTCCCCATGCTGACCCGATGCTGCCTCACAGGTGTCCCTCCCCTTCTGGGGACCAAGGACAGAGGTGGGCACCCCTAAGTGTGTGCTGGCACAGGCCTCCTCATCACCAGAGCTGGGGCTGTTCTGTGAGAGGCCTCCTGCCCTGACGCCCGGCCCACAGCAGGAGCCGGGGCCTGGCTGGCCTGGGCTCTGCGGCTGCCCCAGGCAACCTGAGCTTGTGACAGCTTGGGACCTGGGCAGCCTTCCCTGGACACCGCCTTCCCAGCTAAGGCCAGGACTGTGACCTAAGTCACCTCCCTGGTGCCGTGTGTGGAGAATGAACGCACACGCACACCCATGCACAAACACGCGTGTGCACACGCACGCATGCACACGAACGCACACACCTCGGCAGACCTGCTCCGAGGCAGTTCCCCCATCGCCGGGCACTGTCCCCACCAGCACACGCGCTGGTGGACGTCGGGAAGTCCACCCTGGCGTCCCTGAACTTCCCCATGGGCCAAGAGCCTCAAGTTCGTGCTGCCTTTCTGCTCTGGAAGGTGTAGGGGCAGGTGGAGACCAAGGTGGGGTGCAGCTCTGACACCTCGCCCTGCTCCCAGGCCCGGGGCAGCCTGGCGCCCCCACCTGGCGGTCAGATCATTGGCCTCTGACTTGGTGCTGGCTTCCTGGTGCAGACAACACCTCTGACCCTTGGCTGTCACGGGGACGTGGCTGTGGCTCAAGCACCATGGCCTCTCTCCAGCCTGCTCTGGCCTGGACCTGCTGGTCACCCCCAGCATGTCTCCTGGCCTCTGTTCACTGCCCCCATGGTCACTCGTGCAGGTGTTGGGGCATCTCGTCCTCTGCCAGGCCCTGTACGCTTGTGGTTTCCCCACAGATGGATCGTTGGCCCCGGCCAGCTGGTAGTCTCCTGCATGCTCTGCCCCTGCCCCACCACTAGTCACACCGCACCCTGGACACCACCGCCCCCACCATACCTGCCCCCCGCACCTGCCCACTGGCCCTCCCCTGCGCTGCCCATGCTTTCCATGTCCCCCAGGCCACTGCCCTTGCCGGGAACCCCCAGACCCCACCCCCTCTGCCTTCGTGCCGTCCACACGTTGCCCCGTCTCTCTGTGTCCTTCGCTGTGGCAGCCTGGTGCCCAGGACCGGCCTGCTCCCGGCCGGAGCTCACAGATGCCACTGGGGAGTGGGGTCCCCCTCTGCTCCCCGCCCCCTGCCAGGTCTTGTGCACTGGCAGCCTCCCCCAAGAGGGGGTGACGGCAGCAAGCATGCCCCCGGACGCACCCCGTGTGGTCGCAGTGGTCACCGCACCGCTTGCCGGTCTG